GTTAAAATGTCAACAAACACTCTATCATTGTATTCTGAACTAGGTAGATTTCCTCTGTATATTGAAAGATATGTTAGGATAGCAAAATATTGGTTAAAGTTACACGGCGATAAGAGTCAAAACTGTATTTTAACAACTATTCTAATTTTCAAAGAAATGATATATCAAATAACTCAAATGTTGTCAACTGGTCATCAAAAGTTCGAGACATGTTACAAAACGCTGGATTTGCCGAAGTATGGTTATATCCAGAATCGGTTAATATTAAATTTTTTATACCAGTATTCAGATCACGTCTCAGGGATATATATGTAACCCAATGGCGAGCAGACATGGCGTTATGCTCTTCCTTGCGATTGTATTCAAATGTTAATGTTAAATATGAAAGGTCTATTTATCTTAAATTATTAGAAAATGCAAAATACAGATCAGTTCTTGCAAAAATTAGATTAAGTTCCCATAAACTACATATTGAATCTGGAAGACACAGGGGTATTGAAAGAAGTCAGAGAAAATGCACATTATGTACGTCCGGGGATATAGAGGATGAATTTCATTTTATATTAATATGTCCAATTTATAGTGATTTTAGAAGTATGTACATTTCAAGATACTTTACTGTTAATCCTAGTGTTTATAAATTCATACAATTGTTAAACGCAGATAGAAAATTGGTTATTAGAAAATTAGCATTATTTTGTATTAAAGCATTTGAAAGACGAGACAATTTGGTAGATTAGCATATCAATATGATATTATTAATGTAGAATTTTTTTTTGGCATTCTCAATCAATATGTTAGCTATGTCATAATATTTGAATGTAACTGATTGAATTTATTATGATATGATTCTTGATGCATGCATTGTAATAATTATACATGTATATGTATGTTATGATGATGGGTGTTGAGCCCAAGTCAGAAATAAAGTATATGTTCTGTTCTGTTCTATATTATTTGCATGTTAATAAAGTATTTATAAATATAATAACCTAGCGAGTGTTTAGATGTTGGAGTATGAAGTTACACGACATGCCCATTATGGTAACATTTCCATCTTACAGTGCTCCAGTTTTCAGGATTAATTCTTAACATTGATTATTCTGTAAATTATAACAAAAGAATTTTTACATAAGAAAAGTTTCTTACAGCTTCATGTTTTTTTTTGTTTTTTTTTTTGTGTGTGTGTGTGTGTGTGTGTGTGTGTGTTTTTTTGTTTTGTTGTTTTTTTTTTTGGGGGGGGGGTCATAATTATTTTCCTCTGAACGTGTTGCAAATCCGTGGATTTATTAAACCAACAAAACGTTCTCATTTATAAACATCCTTTCCAGATTTCATTTTCATTAACCTTTGGTTGTTTAATTAAGTAACAGATCCCAAAACTTTCACACAGTGGGTTATGAACCATTTTAAGTTTATCTCTAGTTATCACAATTATCGTTTTTTTGTGAAACCATGACCGGTTAAGGTGCTTAATATTTTTCTTTTTCACCATCAAAATTAATCAAAGATGACACGGTAATAAATAGTTTGTTGATTTTAACAATTATGCTTTTATTTCTATTTGCAATATTTCATTTGTGATACTTTTAATAATACTGCCAATAGTTTGAGATTACAAAAGTTAAACGTAAAGCAAGTGATAGGAACACGTGTAAAATAAAAGTTGTTCTACTTTCAAAGGACATCAATATCAATGTGCTTATGATTTTATTTCTGTTTACAAAATGTGTTTTATTTATGAGCTACAAGAAATTATGATGGCATTGTAATGCAAGCATTTCTCATATTTCTATATGTATCGAAAACTTAGAAATAACATGCAAGTTCGGCCTAGTATCTGTTTGTGTGTTGCTGTTGTTGCTGCTGCTGCTGTTGTTTTTGTTGTTGCTGTTTTTCTTGACAACTGACAATAAATCATTTACTTTACTAACAACAAGACTCTCTCGTTTTGCCCGTTCAAATAGTTTCAAACTTTAAATCCATTTTGAAGTCCTCAAATGGTATATAAAATAAACTGGAATAAAAATAAAATAAAAATTAATTATGATGTACATGTATATATCCTGTAGGCAAACTTAATATCATAACTTGATAAACTTCGTATGACGTTCAAGAATTTCACTTTAATATAAACAAAATAATTACTTAGATCTAGAAGATAACATTCTTTATACCATTGATTTATAATGACATAAAAGTAGAACTGTTTATTTCACATTTTAAGTACTTACAGTAAAAAGTATATGCATTATACAGTAAAACCAGATCTATGTAGTGAAGTCATGTGATAAAATGACAAAAAGTTAAATAATTTATGTTATGCTATGACGTATTAAATTGGCTGCCTGGGTTCGAAACCATTTCTTGAATGCCAAATACAACTGTTCTATTATTGCCTGACCGCTCATGTAGGACAACATTCGATTTTTTCTTTCGTTTCTTTGATATTAGGCAGGCATGGTTCTTTTGCAATAAAATATACATTGGTTGCCCTTTTATTGTAAATTATTTTGCGCAGTATTAAACAAAATATTCAATTGATTAAATTGATTAAATTTATTTAAAAGAAACAGCTTACATCAGAGAACGCTAGCACTGCAATCGTCGTCTCTAATGATCCGATGTAGTGCTTTGTAATTTTCATCAATCTTAAGTGTGTCATAGTAGAATTTCTATAAACACTTCTCCCTTCTCACCGTACCTGCACGTTGTAGAGAAGACACATGGCATCGGCAAAAGATTTTGAGCTTGGCTGATTTCCTATGCAAGCACACGTTGACTCTTTAAGATCCGAACGCTGTTGTTGTTTATATAGGGTACGTCCTGGAGACCCAAACTACCCCTTCGTCGCTGGGGAGTTGAGATTCTATCGTAACCTACCACTCAGTTTCCGATGTCCTGACTAAAGCCGAGGGAAGTGGTCCTACAGAGTAAATAGTGACGACGATGAAAGTGTGAAAGGTTGTGTAAGCCATTTTGGGACCTACAACCCCTTTCAGGGCTAAACCTTCTTCATTATTCCCTAAGGTTACTGTACATTTAGCTTCTGATTGGTCGCCGACCAGTTACCTACTTTTGACTTTTGGAAATTGCATGGAGGTAAATTATCACCACTTTGTGCTTCAAAATAATGTTTTTATTAAGGCTTTAAGAGCATGACTGGTAACATGTCTTGGGTCCGAACTCGACACTGAAAGCATGGACTCATGTCTAAGCCTCCTTCTTATCGTCGTTTAACGTTGTAGGGTAGAAATTAACCTTGAGGTCATAACTTTTTTGTTTATTTTATTTATACCTTCTTTTTGTATTCATGTGTCTTAAAATAAACGTAAGAGTTTAATTATAAGATTGCAAAAATAAAACATTTATGATGCAATTTGATATACATTTCCGTTTTCTTTCCTTAAACTTTCTTGCCTTTCACATGTACAGATATGGACAAAAACCTCTAATCCGGAAACCTTTCTAATCCGAACCTTTCTTCTGGTCCGTTCGAGTTGGGATTAGAGATGTTCCACGGTAATAAGTATTGCTGCACATACTCCGACTTTTTTGAAAATTCAATTGATCTACGTCAAGGCCTAAATAATTCTCCGCCAATATTTGCTCTTTTTAGAGTACCTAGAACTATTTTTACAAAATAGAATAAATTGTGGTTTGTCAGTTTTTGACCTTTGTATAATGACTTTAAAAAAATTACTCTTTGTTGATGATATAGTATAAGTAGAACATTCTATAGAAGATTTACATTCCAGTCTTAACTTATATAATTACATGTATATGAGTATCGTACACACTGGAGTTTACAGGTGAATACTTCAAAAACTTAAGTTGTTATATGTAGAAGAAGAAAAAAAAACAGAATGAAAAAAATATATAATAAAGAACAATGATTTCAACTATCTATGAGTAGTTATACGGGTTCATATTTGTTTAGCATAATCAATTTATTATTGGAAAAGCCCTAAAGCATGTGTCAAGTACTTCAAAGTAATATTAATAAGATAGATTTGTCACCACATATTTCTCATTTCTTAACAATTATTTTATGCTTTTGTTGGTTCTATTCTAAATTATGCATGTAATGTAATGAAAAGATATAGAAAGTGCACAACTCAAATTAAGCATATGTATTTTAGGCGTTTAGAAAAGTTCTAGCAACTGTGTTTAAAAATTGTATACGGGGACTTATTAATAAAACCAGAGACATATATGTTATCTATGTCTCTGATAAAACAGACATGATCAAATGACAAAATATTGGTTGCACATTTCTCATACAAATGATATTATTTCAATGACATATACATGTATAATAACTCATTGAAACAATGTTTAAATAATGTCAAAAATTGGACTTACAATGAATGTTAAGATATTACTAGAAAATATGCTTTTGAAGATTAAAAAGAATCATTCTAAACAAAGAGCTTTCAATTGCTTTAAGCAGAAATGGCAAGCAGATTTAAACAAAAATATTTTTTTATTTTATATTCATTCTTTTTATTTCATCAGATTCAAACTTTAAAAATTATTGAAGTACTATCAAATCTAGATATCTAAGGAGTAGTAATACCCGCATAATCTTATCATTCATACAGGCAAATATGGTAGGAACAGAACAGATTATGCCAATTATTTCAATGGTCTGAGATAGAAGATGTGCTTGGGGCATAAGTTACTATTATAACCAGTACTATAACCGCCATTTTTTTTCAATTTTTCAGGCGTTGTCTTACAAAAATTTAGTGGTCCTTTGCCATTACGTTATTTTAGCCGCAGATGTTTTTTGTATGCCGTTAACTATATATCAAAAGCTTTTCTATTTATCGTTCCTGCAGATATATTGATATTATTGAACGTTAGTTTATGTTCAATAATTCCAAGAAAAAAGTTTCTTTTGCATCCTAAACCTAAATGTATAAATAATAAGCGTTTATTTAATCATTTTTTCTTGTTATCTTGAACTGCACCGAAAAAAAATTGATTGATATTCCAATAAACGTCATGCCCACTAATCTATTCTGCTGTTCCAACAGTGGAGATTATCGAGGCGTGTAAAGTTTGCAAACTTGAGAAAGTTAGTGGAAATTCCTGTGCCAGGGGCGATTTATTGGATTTTTTAAAAAGGGTAATTAATACGTTTATTGTGGTAGTCCTCATTTATTAATGGACTGAAATTATGAACATTTATACAAGAATAAAGTTTTTTTCTAAAGAAACTTTAACTTTTTGTCCAACAAGCAAAAAGTTTTTATCAGAGGGAGAGAATGCCAGACACATTGATAACAAGCTTGTGTTATGAAAGAAGCCAGAATCAGAAAATGGGTTTATTTAATTTCCGCACAATCTACAGATATTTTTTTTAAATTCTTATTAATGTGTTGAAAATGGAATAGATCCTAGATATAGATAGATATTAAGATAGGGATTTAACGATGATCGAGTATAATCGAAAATTGATCGTTTATAGGACCGATTAGCGATGATCGAATATAAAGTTCAATAATCGATCATCGGTTATTTATCTTCTTGCTGTTACTTAAGTGACTCACTGTATTATAACAAATCTTTAAATTAAAGCCAGCTTTGGTTTACCCAATAATTTTCATTAAAATGAATGAGAAAGCATACTGGTGACCATGAGGGTAATTGTTGACAGTGAGGCATTCTAGTTTACAGACATACTATGCTCAAATTTGAAATTAGAAAATTGCTACACAGTCTATTTGTAAATATGAAATAAACATGTTTTGACTTCAAACAAAGAAGATATGTATAAAATTATTCTACACACTAAACTAAAGATGGTTACAATATAAGTATATAGTGACATTAAAAAAACCTGGCATTTTTATTAATGACCAACTTCTCTTGTTCCCATACATAGCTTATTCATTCCTTTATTGGAATTGAGACATAATAATTTCATAGATATAATGAATTTATTTGATTAAAATATTTTACTCAAAGATGAACATAAGCATGAGTAACTAGTTTATTTCAGTTGATTAAGTGGTAGTTACACAAAATATAGAATATAAATGGAATTCTTATAAATATTAAAGCATGGTATGTGCATTGTACATATTTACTTTGTTATCATAATGATAAATATTTCGATTATATAATCGATGATCAGGGTTCTCACTAGGACTTTAAAACATGGAGTCCATGGACTCCCAACCCTGAAAAAGTTGGAGTCCAAAAGCGCGTCGCAATTAATATGTTTACAGATTAGTTATTCAATGCTCACAATAGCATTGCTGATATTTTGAATCTTCAAGAGACTTCCAAAGTTTAAAGTTATTCAAAAGAAACTCTGAACTACATAGTATAATTATTGTTTTGTTGTTGATATTTATTATGAAATTATTTCATTATAATGCATCAACACGATTTCGAGACGTTTCGGCCCCAAGACGTATCGGCCCCAAACTATCCAAGACGTTTCGGTCCCGGACGTTTCGGCCCTTTACCAAATCGGCCCCAGAATAAGTACTGTATTTTAAACCGATATATTAACAGCATTTCAATAAATAAATGAATCAATTAATATCTATATTTAATCATTTTGTATAAAAACTAGATTATAATAGTAGTAGGGGAAAAGTAATCAATACAAACAGAACAGAACATAAACTTTATTTGAAAAAATATAATACACAAACAAACAATTATTTACAACATATATAGATAATATTTTATCAATACAAACAGAACAGAACATAAACTTTATTTGAAAAAATATAATGCACAAACAAACAATTATTTACACCATATATATAACAACAATTTAACAGTGACGAGTTTGATGGATACGAAAATACAAGTACAGAACAGTTAAACAATTTTACTTGAAACAAAACAAATGTGATATATACAAAACGAAAACAATAACAAATGAACTAGAACAAATGATAGTCTTAGTCTTAGTAAAGACAATCTCATGGGGGAATATAATGTGCAATACATTAATTTTTGGGAAATCCTTTCTAAATTAATATATTCAAACTGACCTACCTGTATCGCATTTTCGGTGCTGCCATCTGTCACATATATCGCATGTCACTCCATGCTGTCTCCCACGCACAACATTATTGCACTCAAAAAATTACGTATAGTTTAATTAAGATCAAAAGATAATGTTTTCTAAGGAATAATTGTAATCCAGAAGTTTTAGAGGCTTGTTTTATAAATTAAGTAACCTGCCTTTATTGTTTGTTACACCTTTAAAAACATTAAGATATATCTAAATGGTTCAAGAGATCAAAAGATAATAAATAATTATTTAAAGAATTAAAGTGGCATAATTGTTTAATTGTAATTAAATTAATTGTTGTTAATCAATCAAGCAATATACTATAGTGGGGCCGAAACGTCTCGCGGAAAAGGGCCGAATTGTCCTGGGGCCGATTTTTCGACTGGGGCCGATTTGGTTTGGGGCCGAAACGTCCTGTTTGCGCATCAACACATGGAAATCGTTTTTTTTTTTTGTTTTTGTTTTTTTCACTTTTATACCAAATCAAATTTTATTCAGGTTAAATAAGTCCACTCTAAAGACAAAAAGTTTATATTTGTAAAAAAAAAAACGTAAATGTATATAGGCAGCGTTTAGCGGAATGAATAGGAAAATCGTGTACAGCTTCAAACAGTGTGTAAGAGATTCATTCGATCGACAATTATTTTAGCAAATTTCTTCAAAAGGGGGCAAATTGAAGATCGATATTTAAAAAATTAATGTGGATTAAATAATAAAGGAACAATTCATTCGCATGTTTGGCTTGGAAACCGAGAATTTTTGCGAAATTTTAGGGTTTCTGGCGAACGTGAAATCGCCGATGTTCGGGATCAATTTTCGGATAGAATCTAAATATCAAAGAAAAGCGTATGTGTATTTTGGTTTGTTGTCCTGACATTTCGGCACAATATCTTAAATTCTTAATAGTCTTATCGAAAGTTTTTTGCAAGAATGAAACTAAAGCAAAATTGTGTCTAGAAAATGCCGAAAATATTCGACAATCATTCAAAATTACACTCATTTGTAATTTGAGAAAACAGTCTTTAAACTTGCGGCGTAAATAGTCGATAATTTTTTACTTTTGTCGGTAAAATTTGCTAATTTTCCAATCAACTTTTTTTTTTTTTTTTTTTTGATCAAAGATATAAAATCAAAGATATAAAATTATCACCTTGTTTTATATCTGGCAATTACATGTACTGTACAGCGCGTGTATACATTAGTCTGATCACTATTGCGTGATAATGATCGTTAGCGTTATCGCTGATTGGCTAATCGCTTCACTCGATGTGCATAGGACCGCCTACCTATAGACTGACACGCGCTGACGCACTTGTGTATTTGTGGTTGTAAACAATCGGTAATGTTTATGCGTCCCCGGGCAAAATTAAGCGTACGTGGAATCCTTGCTCTGAAATATTTGCGTCCAGCTGTAATAAACATGCGTACCGGGACGCCGAAATAAGCGTCCCCGAGAACCCTGATGATTGATCGAAAAAGGTTGTTCGATTATTTTCGATGATCGATTATGATTTTTGTCCGATTAAGAAACCCTATATTAAGATAATCTAACTACATTTATTTTTAATGAATACTTTAAATGTTCAACTGCAAAGGACTTACAATTATGGGTTATATGCCCTCGATATATGTTTATATTATATACAGTAGGCTCTTTTAATATATGTAATGAATTCACATACAATCTTTCATTTTCTAATTAATGAAATTCTGTATGGAATTCTAAAATATAAGGATTCCATTAAGTTCCAAAATGTGGAAGTCAGAGACCGCAAAATGTCTGACTATTTCACATTATAGTAGATCTCTATGTAAACAGCCTGGTAATATAACAGTTTGCCTCAATGACGATTCGCCTCAAAACAAGTTGGCCCATTTTTGTGATGATTTGCCCCACTTTACATTAAAAATTAAAATTTAAATTATTTTAACTTTTGGATTGCTTATTTCAGAGAACTTTATAAGTAAATTAATAGATAGATATTATTCAGATTATTATTATTTATAATTGATCATTGTTTAATTTATTTCTGATCGTTATTTAACCCTCTTATATATGCAAAACAACACACTTTCGACCCCTCCCCCCCTCTTTAAGGCCTCAAATAGTGAAAAAAATGTCCTGTTTGGGCCCCAAACACATGTTTTCATTTGGGAAATGTTGTTAGAAAAAAGTGGCCACTTTTTTTGGCGTTGCCTACCAACCAAAAGATACATTAGGGGGTTGCAAGAAGGGGGATGTGCCCCCTTCTGTTTGGGTGGTTTGAAGGGGGGCGGTAGTTCCCCTCATGGCCAAGAAAATTTTGGACTTGTGAGAAGCTAAAAATGACCCCAGATCGATCATAAGGTAACGTGTAAGCAACCCTGAAAAGCATTTGACTCTATCTCAATCCATTGAGAAGGTGCAGCACTTTGAAATCAATTTTGATGGAAAAAATCAACGCTAAATAGTGATTTTTGGCAATTTTGAGATGTCCCCTCATTGCCATGGTAACAGGAAATTTAAGCCTGACCCAGACTTCCCGAAATACGTCGGTCCGACGGACATGCCCGATAAATTTTGATCAGGTCCGACAATTTTTTATGCCGGGTCGGTCCGACTGTCCGGCTTTTATCCAAGCTGCATGTATACAAAATGGCGTCGCTAAAGGTGCCAAACCTTGGAAAAACCGAAAATCTACGTTAGAAGAGTGCGCAGAACAGCAATAAAAGGATGAAAATATTAGACCTGAGACAAAATTTAATGAAAAATGGAAGCAGAACCATGAATCATTGGTGTATGACAGGGAGGAGATGAAAATGCGCTGTACAGATTGTGCGAAAAAATAAAAAAACAAAAAGTGTCTTAGAAATACAAACACAAGTTTTTCTTTGATTTTGATCAATTTTATTTGGTCCGACAGATTTTGTTTCGGTCCGACAGATTTTCATGGTTTGTCAGACAGAATGTCTGACAGTTTTTTTCAACTTTCGGGGAGTCTGCTGACCATGTTGTTACAAAGGCAATGGTCCAGTCATCATTTGTACCAAGTTTGATTAGTTTTGAAGCAGTTTTTGTGTCGCCTTGAAAAAGGCGACATATAGGGGTT